CCTTCCCTCCTTTCCAGCTCAAAGGCTTGGCTGTGGGGGATGTGTAACCTGGAGGCTTTCTTTCAGGGCTTCCAGAAGAATCCCCACCCATCAGACACAGGGCCGGGCAACTGCCCAGGGACTCCGCCCAGAGGGGCTCATGTCTGCCTAACCTCTGAACTTGGACCTGTGATGCAGACACTGGCCCCTAGATTCGCCCTCGAAGCCAGACAGTCAAGGAATCCGGGTCACATCTTTCTCCTGCTGCTAAGACCCTGTGAGACTCTGCTTTAACCTCATCAGGCTGAGGTTTCCACATTCATAAAAAGGGATTATCAGCACATATTCTGTGCCCCTTTCCCAATAGGGCTCATCTTATCAAAGGAGAAGATAGATGAGAAAAATATATTGATGGCTATTTTAAATTATTTATTTAATCAATTTTTAATTTTTTGACTTAGGCGGTACCCATATAACACATAAGCATATGAACATGTGCTCTCCAGTGGCATTGGGTACTTTCACAATGTTGTGCAATTGCCACTTCTATCTAGTCCCACAGTGTTTGCATCAACCCAGGATATAAGCAGTTATTCTTGGCCCCCCTTACCCCACCCTAACACTCTGTCCTCGCAATTGCTAATCTGCTTTCTATCTCTGGATTTACAAAGTAGAGTTATTTCATATAAATGGGATCATATCATATCTGCCCTTTTGGTGTCTGGCTTCATTCACTGAGCATGGTGGTTTTGAGGTTCATCCACATGGCAGCGTGGATCAGTACTTCATTCCTTTTCATGGCTGAATAATATTCCCTCGTATGTGTACATCACAATCCATCCACTATTCCGTTGACAGACGCTTGGGTTGTTTCCACCTTTCAGCCACTGTGAATAGTGCTGCTGTCAGCACTCAGGTACATGTGTTTAAGTACTCAGCTATTCTGGGTGTGCACCTAGGAGCACAGTCACTTGGTCACATGGTAATACTGTGTGTAAATTTTTGAGGAACAAATTAATCTATATTCCACAGTAGCTGCATTATTTTCCATCCCCACTAGCCAAGTACGAGGGTTCCAATTTCCCCACATTCTTGCCAATATTGGTCATTTTCCATCTTTCTGGTTACAGCCTTCCTGGTGGGTGGGAAGTGGAACCTCACGGAGGTCTGGTTTGTGTTTCCTTAATGACTAAAGGTATTTTGTATGTTTCATGTGCAGATTGTCCATTTGTCTGTCTTCTTCAGAGGAATATCTATTCAAATCCTTTGCCCATTTTTTTAATGTGGCTGTTTGCCTGTTTTTTGTTGAGTCATAAGAGTTCTTTATATATTCTGGAGACCTATCAGGTATATGATTTGGAAACAGTTCTTCCCATTCTGTAGGTTTTGAAAAAAATATTTTTAATACTAGTTAGAAAAATGGAAAAGAAAATTGGTACATATTAGTAGCTTTAGCATTGCTGCATCTCCCTCCACCTCCCCTTCCCCCTCCCTCTCTCCCTCCTCCTCTTCCTCCTTTTTCTTCTTCTTCTCTCTCTCTTTTGTTTTGGACACTAGCTGTTCTAGAAATTATGCTAAGAACTTAATGTATTTTTTCTTTTTAAAAAATTACATTTGTTTTTCTTTTCACTTTTTATTTTTGGGAGGGGGAGGTAATTTTATTTATTTATTTATTT